AACAAATGGAAACATGGCACAAAAAGTATTCAAAAACAATAAGGTCTCTGCTGAAATACTTGGCTTGATAAAAATCTCATGAAATGTTTCTATGTAATTTTTTGTGCAAACATTAAATTAACGCTGATGAACTTGAAATATATTTTTCAAAGAAACAGCAGAGCTCTGAGTTTCTCTGTACCCATGGTTCCTAATGTCTCATATCTTACATAAAATTCTAATTTATAGTTTTCAAGTTGTAAGAGATAAATCAGTACCAGTAGGTCTCCTTTCTCAGCTCAGATATGTTGAAATAAAGACGTTAAAAATTATAGAAAACACTATACAACAAAATATTTAAGAAAACTCACTAATAAAGATGTAATGCGAACATTATTGTGCAGTTCAGATCCAATTATTAGCTCTCTTAGAAGGAGTTTGAGATTTATTAAAGAACATGAACTTAACAAAGATTGTATTAAACTTTTTATGTAACATTTTTTTAAGTTTATTATATATTTTTGATTAGATTTCTGATAAAATATCTAATAAATAAACGTTTCTTTGTATATAAAAAGGGTTCTAACACATAACAAACATTTTAATTATTTAATGCTTCGAATATAGGAAAAACTGTTTCTAAAAAACAACTAAAAGTTATGTCTAAAATTGTTAACACCCTCTGCACCCTTTTCTATTAGGGTGTTTATCTGCATCTGCAAAAAAATAGAATTTTTTTTTAACTGATCTTCATGATGACTAGAGTCACTAATAAAAAGCTCAATTTGACAACTTTAAAAATAAAAGAGTTATGATTTTTTGTCCATTTTACGCTGATCTTGGCCCACTGTGCAACGCGACGAAATAATAGTTACTTAATGACATAATTCATTTAGTAAACAAAAATTTCATGAAAAAGCGTCAGAACGTGAGTAAATGCATGTTTAACTTACATTACACAAATTTAAAATAAAAATGTGCTTTTACTAAGCATCGTTGTTTAAAACTTTAAATGTAAAAACGTAATATTTAATGTGCCACAGCGTAAAGACAACTTCAAAAAAAGTCCTTTTTAATAATAAGCGACCCGAGGCTACAACCCCCTCGCACTTCATCCACAACTGATTGTATTGTTTAACACTTATCGAGTTTATGTATTCATACATTTTTATGTACAAGTGCATAACACCAGAATATATTGTAATAAGAACAAAAATAAATTTTAAATAAAAAATAAATATATATATATATATATATATATATATATATATATATATATATATATATATATATATATTATGTTTATGTTTTTATTTTCTCATTAATAAAAGATATACATTTTATTTTAATGTTTTATTTTCTCATTAATAACTTATATAATAAATTATTAATAAAAAAAAATAATAACAATATGACAAATTAGTTGGGTTTTTTCAGCGTATTTTTAAAATGCATTATATGCAAAAAAATCATGACCAAGTTATCAACAAAAAAATATATGCGTGGTTATTCAAGGCGTACAACCACATGCATCCAGCGTTCAACATCCTAAACTGAAAACAATGTTACAAATTACAGGATTAAGAAGAAGATTTTTTATATAAATAATTAATTTTATAAAAAAAATAATTATTTATATAAGAAGAACTTAAATTCTACTTTTTTTAAATATACATTAGTCATCAAGAATGAGCAGAAAATACAAAAAAATTTAAGTTTGAAAACATATTTTAGACTTTAAGAATTGTAAATCATTCTAATCTCTTCTTAACTATGCTGAGTTAGTGCCAGGGGGCTGTTTTTTCTTTTTAAAAAAACACACCCTTTTTTCACGAAACAACAAAATTTCTATGCATATAGTAGATATGAAATAGTTTAATATTGCACAATGACTTAATATTATAATTAATAATGTTTACAATTTTCAAGAAAATATTTTTGCATCTTCAGTTGCAAAAGGACTAGATTTTTACAAAAAAATCACGAGTTTCATGAGTTCATGTTTTATGAGTTTTTGCCAAACAAGCCCTGCAGTCGAAAATACATAACAAAAGTTTTAATAGAGAGGGTAAGTTCCTCTATGTTTAAAACTTATTTTGAAACATAAAATATAATTTAGTTACAAAATATAATTTCTTTTTTAATGAAGTTCAATTATCTGATTCATTTGTGTGTCTGACAGTCTTTTTGTGTTGAATACAGGCATTATTTTTTGTAATCAAGTCTTGCATAAATGAAGCCATTTTTACTACCTGAACTGCAAGCTTGATCTGAAGCCTCGATTACAAGTATGATGCATCTCTATACTCCTTGAGTATGGAAAATGTTGCACATCTAAAACATAATAACTTCTATTAGATTTTTATTTGACATGTGAGCAGTAGCAGAAGGTTTATTGTGTTCTCATTTTTTCCAATTAATTAGATTAAAATTAATTAGGTCTTTATAATTTTCTGCTATAAAATTGATTTCTGGTATAGCGAACTTTCAAACTTTGTTTTTATAGACCTTGCTTTTATAATTTGTTGCAATGCCCATTTCCTCACATGTGGGCAAGTATCCAATATCATAGCAAGAAGCATGTTTTCCAGATGCGCAAAAAAAAAGGATTCTTTTGTATCACTAGATCAATGATATTTTTTATGTCACTGCTGGCATACTAGGATAAATTAATGGTTAGCCATAAATGTCTACCAATTCGGTGCATGACGGATTACATCATATATTAAACCACATTTGGAAGTAAACTTTGATAACAAACTCAACTATTTCAAACCATCTCTAGTAATACTATGTTATGAGCGAGCTAGAAAAAAAAATTATCTTTTAAATGCACCAGGTTTAGAAAATAATTTTTTAAACATACTTTTAAAGTAAAAATATGCTTATGTAAAAAATGGCAATGCTTGTCTTATTTTTATAAAATTTTGAAGAGCTTTGTTTAGAACACTCTAAATAGATTTAGGTAACACTACAAAAAATTTCAACTCAGTAGTTTTATCCAATCAAAAATTATCCAAAAGTTAATCCAAACCGGATGGACAATAAACTATAAATATATATTTACTTAATATATGCCTTGCATATATTGACAACTGTTCTGTAACAACCTATGGCAACTAAATTTGGATGTATCAATAATGTTTTGAGTTAAAAATGTGTTTATACTTGTCTTAATGTTGTATCCAATTCAGATACATTGACCCTAATCTCTGTACTAAAATTACATGTTTTTCCTTGGTTAGTTTTTTGTATATTTTTCTCTATGTTAGTATCAATAACTTATGTTGTACCTTTTCTTCCAACAAAATACAAATCTAACATTTGAATATTTTCCTGCTCTAAATGTTGCTTTTTAAGTCTGTTTTCCTTTCATTCTCTATGAATCTTACTTTTATCATTTATTTTAGATCTCCTTTTGAAATTATGCTTATATCTTCAAACACTGCTCATTCGATAAATTCAGCACCTTTGCTTGAAACATCTACACCATCACAGGCTTATAATGAAATTGGTAATGGTGATCTCATTTATTTTATCTTTTCTGTTCTGTTTTTGTTTGCAGTCTTCAGCTGTGTCAATCAGCATTGGTGACTGAATACTAAGTATTCCATTGTCATTAGAGTCAGAATAAGGATAACTTAAATTCTGAAAGCCACAAATGATATTGCTTGAGCTTCAATGCCTGTAATAGTACAACACAGTGATGATGGGTTAGACAGTAAGAAGCATTTTACTCTGTTTTTTCCTGCTTTTTTGCGCACAACATTAAAGTAGTTTTAATATCGAGACCATATATACATAATCTGTATCTCTGTTTGCTTATAAAATCATGTCCTCTCTATGGTAGCATTTTTACTTTTTCACAGATATGTTTAAAAAAATTAAAGCACTTGCATGCGGCAAAATCAGATAAAATATTTTCTGCATGCTTATAAAATGTTATGATTATGGACTTCAATTTATCTGTATGTTTTGTTTTGTTGATAGAATTCATAATATTTCTGTACTTTTTATTGTAAATAAGAAACATCATCGATGCTTTTCTCCAGAGTTGTTAGCCCTCGGCCTGGTCTTAAGGCCAAAAATTGAGGCCTTAGCCTTTTGTGTGCTAGATTTCCAGATCTTCTTTTTTCAAAGAAGGTTGATTACCATCACTTTCCACTCTCCTTTTCTGCTTTAAGGAAAGATAATTTAGCATGACATGTTTGATGTAAGTATTTTTGTAGGCATTTTTAAATGAACTCTATTATAAATCTAGTAGAGATAATAGCATTTGTTATTTTTGTTTTATAAACATATTGTCTTTTTTTTTTTTTTTTAAAAAAAAAAAACAACCCCATGGTATTGAAAACATAACAAACTTTTTGAAAATTTTGGCCCAGTTACTATTTATATCATTATGCAACTTTTCCCTTCTATTAAAATTTGAAATTCAAAAAAAAAAGCTTTTATATATACCCAGAAAAGTAGGAATAGGAGAATAAATCCCTATTTATAGCCAGCATTTTAAAAGTCCTGCATAGTTCTTTGACAGGTCAAAAACAATAAAATAATTATCAAAATTAATACGCTGCAATTAGTTTGCATTCATTTCATTATTCTTATAAATAGTTTGAAAGTTCACTTATCAGTGGCCACGCAAACAATGTAAAGAAAAAATAAAACCCTTTTTTCAAAAACCATTCAATGATTTTGCAATTTCTTAATACAAAAATACATCAAACATTTTCTATTAGAACTTAACTTATTTAACAAACTTTTTTTCTTAAGAGCAGGTTTATAAATCATTTAAAAAAATACTTAACTTTTTTACTAAACTCAATTTATAGAGCAGAAAATCTTATTATAGAGTTGTTCTCATATATTGTTATCAAAATTATGTCACCTTTTGATGAAGATATTTTAATTTAACTTTACTAAAACAATTTTATCCTTTATTAATTTTACATTTTTTTAAACCTTAATTATTTATACATTAGAGTGAATAAAAATATAAAAATATGCTAAAAAAAACTTACCTGCCCCACCAGAGATAACAGGAAACACAACAGATGGCATTTCAAAATTAAGCAAGGTAATACCAGTGCTCCATAAAGCATAAACTAAATAAATATATGTTTTCAACTTGACTCAAGTTGTCATTACACATAAAACTAAATTTATTCAAAACAATTAAGGAAAAAAAAATTGATGATGATGATGATGATGATGATGATGATGATGATGATGATGATGATGATGATGATGATGATGATGATGATGATGATGATGATGATGATGATGATGACAATGATGATGATTGTCATCATCATTATTAGCAATATCAGCATCACCATCGTTATCACCACAGTAGCAATATAATAAAATGAATAAAATGAAGCATTTCATACCTGTTGGTAACAAAATACCATCAACTTCAAACAAAATTGGATTTTTGTTTAGAAAATAGCAGGTAACATTCTTCTCTGAATTTGTTACAAACTTTGAGACCGACATATCTTCTTTGTTTGGGACTAGGTTTATTAATTGTTGCGAGTTAAAATGAGGGTATTGTTTTAACACATTTTCTCGAAGTTTACGCCTTGTAAAAAAATATTCATAAAATAATATTCTAATTTTTTGTAGCTTATTTGAATTGCAGCTGATGAGAAATCAAAAAAAAAAATTTTAGAATTAGGTAACATTACCTTTCAGAATTACGAATATTAGTATTGGATTTAATCCTAAAAGGCTTTTTGAACATTTTTTTTTAAATTATACTGAGTTGCTAAAACATATTTTAAAAAAAGTTTAAAAACTAAAATACAAATTATTTATAAACAGGTTTTATTCATGCATAATATTTTCTCACAATTAATGAATTTTAAAATAATTATTTAGTATAAAACTATTAAATTAAATTTTGAAGTATTAAAATTGCTTAAAAAATGTATATTATTACTGTATAAAACAAAATATAGTAATAACATAACAATATAACAATCATATATCATCATTATTAATGATAATTTATGATAATTAATATTATTAATGATAAATTAATGACATCAACTAAATTTATCATTTTAAGGAAGAGATCATGAAAGTGATCAATGAAAGAAATCATTATAATTTATCATTAATAAAGATGAAACATTTAACAAGCTTCTAACAACTAAAAAAATTTTGCCACCTCAAAAGAATTTTTTTTTTTTTTTCTAATATTTTCTTTTATATTTAAGACTTTTTGCAATATTTAAGACTCATGTAAAAAAAAATTAAAAAAATAAAAAACAAAATTATTTAGTTAAACTAAATCTTGCTAAAATAAAAAAGAAAACGGTATACAAATATTTACAGTAAACAAAAATCTATTATTTAATTACTTAAAAAGTATGTATGCAGTATAAATTAAACACTCGATTTAATAGTGGCTAAATAATAGTGTGAATATAACCTGACAACATAAACTTATTAAACTACCATTGGCAATGGTGGTTTAATTAGGTTTTTGTTGACAGGTTTTTTTGTTTTATAATATAATATTAGATATTCATTAATTCTCATTAGAGCCTAGAATCAAGTAAATAATAACTATCAAAAATTCTCATTAGATCCAAGAACCAATTAAATAATCACTATCAAAACTAAGTAATAGCCGGAACATAACTTGATCGTGTATTTACACGATTAAGTTACGTTTTGGCTATTACTTAGTTTTGATGGTTATTATTTGGTGTAAGAAACTTTGTAAATAGAATCTGTTCTTTAAGGCAGGTAACATCCCTGAGAGGGTTGTCTGATTAAATAATTAAATAACTAATTAACTTTTCACGAAGACAACTAATTAGTTATACTATAACTAATTAGTTGTCTTCGTAAAAAGTAACATACATACTTATAGTTTATAAGTATGTATGTTACTTTTTACGAAGCGACTTTGCCTACAAGGAAGGTTAATTAGTTAACATGTAATTCATGTTACAGGGTCCTATTGTCAGTGTAAAATAGGCTATTTACTGTGTTCTTATTTTTTTAAATATGAAATAAAATTTGCTGAAAGAAACAGGCATTTAAAAAAAAGAGTTTCGCGGTTTGGTAGTTGACGCAGGTTATTAGATCTTTACACTCCACGCGTGATGTTTCTGGCGGTACAAAGCATCGCGTAAGGCTTTTATTTTCTGCTTGTTTTAGATGTTTGTCTCTATTCTTTCTTTAATTGTGTTTAAGTTTTTTTTAAATGTGTGGGCGTACGTATTTTAAAAAATGTTTGTGCAATTTTGCAGGACGCAGAAATGTTGCAAGACATTTTTCCGAGTACAAAACTATATCAACTTGGCCAAGATTTCGGCCTCTTTACTAAATTCTGGGTAAAATTGACAACAACCCTCACAGTCCAAATTCCCTCCGATAACGTATATTTTTTCCTACAAAATTGAAATCAATCAAAATATATAAGTTACCGTTAGGCGTGTGATCTGCAATTTTTGGCGATTTCTTCAAATTGCTTATGCAACAATTTGAAAAAGTTTCACTATTACACCTTCAGTGCATTTGTCTGTGCCAGAAAGGTTTTTCACTTCATCTGATAAACCAAAAAATTTTCACAAGAATGTTGATAGTATGAGATGGGAAGGCACGAGATGGATAGTAACACGTTGACCCACAATTTTTTTTTTTTTATGCTTTTTGAAATATGTTAAAAATTGCTATTTAGCTAAAGCATAAATCACTACTTTTTTTTTTTAATTATTATAATTTAGTTTATTTTTTTTTATAATAAGTTTATATATTTGAAATAAGCATTTTTTTAAAAAGCATGTTGTTTAAAAAAAGGATTTCTCCAGAAGTAAACATCTTTTTATAATGTCTTTGGTTTTTCAGCTACTTATTTGTTAACTTAGGTACCCTAGCAGTTTTATCCACATTACTGATGTATTTCTAAAGTTACATTAAAAGACATTACCATAAAAGACATTACCATAATAGTTATTATTTTTACTGGGTAGATCTCGGTGGGTGACAAAACTTAAAACTTATAAACAAGCAAAAGTAATTATTCTGCTACTAGTCTTCTTCCAATGTATTTTGAACAAACTGGTTAAGTTTTGAAGAAAAAGAATATATCTATTCAAAGATATCTTTTTTTAACTTTATCTGATTTTCTCTAAATCTAATTTGGAGATAATTGAAAAACAAAAATAAAAATACCAAAAAAAAGTTTTAGATTCATAAAAAATGAATTGGCTCTTCTTCTGCTTCTAATCCTTTTTTAATTACTCTCAGCTTCTGGCTCCTCACTTTTGTTTTTGTTGGTAGAATTATACTTTGCTTTGATATATGCAGGGCCGTGCCTGGGCATTTGGCCGGCTGCGTGCTGTGTATGTATGGCCGCCCTTCGAGATAACAAATATCAAAGGAAAAAAAATCAAAGTTTAATTTTTAATTTATACTTTGGAAAAGACGTCTCCAAGTTGTATTTATATAAAAAATTTAGGAATTCTTTCGGTTGCTTTTTTTCTTTTACGATTATTTCCAAAGAAATAATTTATTCATACAATTTCGCGCCATGGATTCACTATCTTTAAATTTATTATGAAGATCGAAACAACTTTTTTTTATTTCTTTATCTTTCATATAAATAAATTTGTAGAGAAATTTAAAACATTGTTTAAAATTTGAAAAAGTTTCAAACTGGGTGGTAGGAGATGAAATAGCTGTATCTAGTATAACATAATAAAAATTAATTTGAAAACTTTCTTTGGAGTAAGTTGAATATCTTGTCCTCCTTCAAAGCTAAATTGTTTTTGGTGACGTCGGCGATGTACACTAATTTCAGTAAAAAAAGTTCGGTTCTGACCATAGGTGTAAAGTATGGGGTGCAACTGGGGCAGCCTGCCCCCTTGAGCTTTTCCCCCTTTAAAATTCGTTTGCCCTCCTTGAAATTTTATCCTATCTTAAAATAAATATAATTTAAATATAATTTTATTTTTAAAATCAGAGGAAGAAATCAAATTTTTTCCGTAAAAAGCGAAGAAATTTCCTTTGCTATAAAAATACCCAAAAAAACCGTTTTTAAGAAAAGAACTTAATATTTTAAGGGAATATTTTTTTCAAATAAAAAAATACTTTTTTTCGATAAAATAAAACTTCAAATAGTCTTTTGATCTCAATTTAAGAATTTTTTCACGATGTTTACTAATGCTTTAAAGTAATTTTTTTAGCGACGTTTTTGTCTTTGTGTAGATTTAATATTAATTTTTATTAAATTTTAAGATCAAAATAAAAAGAAAGTATCAATTAAAAAATCTTTAAATAAAGCCAGTTAGACAAGGTACCTTGGTGTACTTAACTTAACGGTAATGATGCTTATTTTATGCAAATTTCAAAGTAACGGTTAGTTCACTTGACAATAACTTCATGTCAAAAAGTTAGGAAGACTTCAAACACGTCCACTACCGTCCGTTCACTACCGTCCGTCCACTATCAACGTTTTGAATTTTGGTCTTTCTTTTTAGAATGTTAAAAGAAAATTTAAATCGGAGTTTTACTACGTTTACATTTTTATATAAAGTAACACAAAAAATAACTGACAACAGCTGTTAAAAAAGTGTCTTACTTTTTTAAGAGCTGGAAAAGAGCTGGTATTGTTAGCTAAAACAACAATTTATTGCACCTTGTATTTTCCTTTGAGATTTTTAATGAAATTTTAAATTGTATAGGTATTGATATCTTTCCGTACTGTGGTCGATGAGTTCCAAATTAATGAGTATTTTTGTGGATTTTATGAGGCAGCAACAACTAAAAGCAAGGACCTGTTTTTTGATTATGAAAAACGCTCTTCTTCGTTCCAACTCAAGGCTCGAGAACTGTTGCAAACAATGTTACGAATGAGCTGCTACCATGTCTTCTGAAACAGCTGGCTTACAAAAACTTGTTCTTTAACAAGAAAACAGAACCCTTCATGTTTAACGCAGAGCTCACAATTTAAATTCTTTAAAGGCTCTTTGCGTACTGAGTCACGTTTTAAAAAACTTTTTGATGCGGCAACTAAATCTGATAAAACGATTGATTTAGACTAACCAGCTCTGCGCAGGAAGAAGAAAGTACCTACAAGATTTAGAGTCGGCTTCAGGGATACTTATTACCAGTCAAAATAAGATCTACAACCAGTTATACTTTTCCAGTTTAAATGCAGTTTTAGTTGGCCTCATCGATAATTTTGAATCAACTGAAACCACTCGTCATTTAACAACAGTTGAACAGTTAAAGTCATTGACGAGGCTAAAAAAAAAAAAAGTTCAATTAAAAGTTTTTCAATCAGTTCTAGATTTCATCTGCGCTAAAGAAAAAAATGCATTGCCTCGGAAAATGTCCGTTTTATTAAAATAGTTCTGGTCCAGCCAGCGACAACTTGTACAGCAGAACCATCATTAAGTAGTATGCGTAGACCAAAAATTTTTCTTCAATCGACCATGAGCCAGGAAAGGCTGAACTTTGTTTTTTATAATGATTACCCATAAAGAAATTACCTGAGTCTTAAAATGGATTTTTTGTTAGATATGTTTATTGAAAAAAACAAAACGCGCCGTAGAATGTTTTATTTGGAAACCAAGTAAAATTCTCTACTTGTTTTTACTTTAATTTCGTGATGCTTGTTAAACAAAATCAAAAATTGTTATTTTTTTACTTCTATTTCAAAAACAATAAACACTAGACAGTAAACATACACTGATCAAAAAAATCGAATCGTTAACTTTTTGCTGCCCTTGGAAATTTGAGTACTCTACGCCCAT